ACTAATTAAATTACATTGATTCTAAATTAATGATTATAGAAACGATCGGCACATATGATAGTTTTGAAGATAAGTTCATTGAAGATCACTTCATAAATCGCAAATATTAAAAATAAAAATTCTTAATTTTGAAGAAAATTAGCTTATTTTGGTTGTAATTAAAAGAGCATGGTTAGACATGAAATTTATTTATCTGGCTAATTATCCTAGCTGATAAAACATTGATAAAAATAACCTTAATGTATGGGGATTAGTTTTTACAATGGATGTTTATGAGCGCAGGCGTGAGATGCAAAAGCAATGGCGTGAAAACGCTAAACAGTGCGAATGGATTGGCGATATTACAATAGAGGAAGTTATGAAGCATAGAACACCAAAAGATTGCTGGGTCATTATCGATGGCATTGTTTATAATTGGACTCAATATGTTTACAATCATCCAGGAGGTTCATCTCACTTCCTTGGTAAAAATCCAGATATTACAGTTCCTTTCCACAATTTCCATCGTGGAATGGATATATCATTTGTTGAAAAGCTCAAGATTGGACGCCTTGTAAGTTCAAAGTATTTATACAGTTAAAAAGAAATTTATTTCTATTAAATTCTTTCGAATCATTTTTGGTAGTTATTCTCATAGACTTGTGAACATATATTCGTAATATTCATAGTTCTGCATATTATGGTGTTTTTTTTTTAAATATCTAAATATAAAATTAAAAAACATTTCATTTGGCTAGATAAATGGATATACACTGGAATGTCATTGCTAAGGTTGATACATATTAAGACGCAATTCAAATAATTTCAACAAAATATAAATTAATTTAATCGTTTTTGGTAAGTGGATTATCAAAATGAATAATAGAACCAATGTTTGTCTCGTTTTCTGAAAATAAACTACAGAATATGTTTTGAAATCTGGAAAATTACTGTCACTTTTCATAATGTTAAAAACATTTTTCAAAGCTATTTCAGCAAAAGATTTAGAAAGTTTGCAAAAACTTTCAGAAGAAGTATATGCCACAGCAAAGGCATCCAAACCAACGCGTGCTGCTGGTCATATTAAAACTGGTCGTAATCATATTTTGATAACACAATCAATAACAGGAATATTATCAGTCCAAGCTCTTGGAAAATTCAATTTCTCGAGATTTAATGAGTTTTCATACTTTTTGACTCCATTAATTTCTAATCAATTTGAAAATGCATCAAAGCCCCGAGCATTTTGTGCTTTAATTGCCGGAACTTTCCCAGTTAAGCATTTTTCAGATACATTTTTGCAGTCAATTGGTATTCCTGAAAAATACACTTCTCCAGCAACGTTTTTACTATATGGTGCTCTCGAAACAGCATCAATCAAACTTACACAGAATATTAAGACCAATCTTGTTGATTTTACTTTAACATCTCTATCAACTGCCGGACTTATTTATCTTAACTCGTTTATAATCGAATCTATCCACAAATTAGTCCCAATTATTCCTTATTTTGTCATATTTACTGCAGTTTCTTTCTTATCAGCGCCAATTCTCCACCGCGTTTGTACATTTGGTGTGAAAAGCGCCATTAGATTTGTTATTGAAAGTATTGCTTCATTAATCTTCAAAGAACAAAATTCCCACGCCGAATATCTTCCTACAGACATAGAAGTACCAGAACCAATGCAA